ACAGGCACCCCTTAACAAACTAGAAAACCCAAAATAAGTAATCTGAAATTACACCTAACTGAATTAGAAAAAGAAGAAAAAACAAAGTGCAAAGTCAATAGAAGGAGAGAAATAATAAAAATCAGAGCATAAATAAGTGCTATTGAAACAAAAAAGGCAGTAGAAAGGATCAATAAAACAAAGAGCTTTGCATAAGATTCTTAATTATCATTAAGAATATAAACAAAATTGACAACCCCCTAGCCAGACTTACACAGAGAAGAAATAGAATAATCTCAGATAAACAAAATTAGAAATGAAAGAGGAGAAATAACGGACACTACAGAAATACAACGGATTACAAGAGAATATTAAGAAAAACTGTATGCTAACAAAATGGATAATCTAGAGGAAATGGATAAATTCTTAGACTCTTACAACTTACCAAAGCTGAATCATGAAGAAAGAGATAATCTGAATAGACCAATAACAAGGAAAGAGAGAAAACAATAATCAAAAGCATCCCAAAGAATAAAAATCCAGGACCAGATGACTTCCCTGGGGAATTCTAGCAAACTTTTAGAGAAGATTTAATACCTATTCTACTCAAGCTATTCCAAAAAGTTAGGGAAGATGAAACAGTTCCTCACACATTCTATGAGGCCGACATCACTCTGATACCAAAGCCTGACAAGGACAACACAAAAAAGGAAAACTAAAGGCCAATATTGCTGATGAACATAGATGCAAAAGTCCTCAACAAAATGTTGGCAACCTGAATTCAGCAATACATCAAAAGAATCATACATCATGATCAAGTGGGATGTATACCAGGGGCACAGGGATGGTTCAACATCTGTAAATCAATCATTGTGGTACACTACATCAAGAATTGAGGAATAAAAACCACATGGTCATCTCAATAGATGTAGAGAAAGCATTTGACAAGATCCAACAACCATTTTTGATAAAACTCAACAAAATGGAGATAGAAGGAAATTACCTCAACACAATAAAGGTCATATATGACAAACCCACAGCCAACATCATACTCAATGGGCAAAACCTGAACACTATCCTTCTGAGAACAGGAACAAGATAAAGATGCCCACTCTCACCACTCTTATTCAGTATAGCACTGGAAGTTTTGCCCAGAACAATTAAGCAAGAGAAAGGAGTAAAAGGAATCCAAATAGGGAGTGAAGATGTGAAACTCTCGCTGTTTGCAGATGGCATGATCTTATATATAGAAAACCCTAAAGAATCCATTGGAAAACTATTAGAAATAACAACTACAGTAAAATTTCAGGGTACAAAATCAACTGACAAAAATCAGTTGCTCTTCTATACTCTAATAACGAACTTATAGAAAGAGAACTAAATAATACAATTCCATTTACAATTGCAACAAAAGAGTAAAGTGTCTAGGAATAAATTTAACCAAGGTGGTGCAGGACTTATACAATGAAAACCATAAGACATTACTGAAAGAAATTGATAATGGCATAAAGAGATGGAAAGGGATTCCTTGTACATGGTTTCGAAGAATAAACATAGTTAAAATGTCCATACTATCAAAAGCAATCTACAAATTCAATGTAATCCCAATCAGAATCCTAATGACATTCTTCATGGAAATAGAACAAAGAATTCTAAAATTCATAAGGGGAAACCAAAGACTCCAACTTGCTAAAGCAATCCTGAGAAAAAAGAGCAAAACTGGAGGCATCACAATCCCTGACTCTAAAGGGTAGTACAAAGCCATAGTGATCCAAACGGCATGGTGCAGGTACAAAAACAGGCACACAAATCGAGGGAACAGAACTGAAAGCCCAGAAATAAAACCATACATGTATGGACAGCTAATCTTCAACAAAGGTGCCAGGAGCATACAATGGAGAAAAGACAGTCTCTTCAATAAATGGTGTTGGGAAAACTGGACAGCCAGGTGGAAAAGAATGAAGGTAGACCATTATCTCATGCCATATACAAAAACAAACTCAAAATTGACCAAAGACTTGAATATAAGTCCCAAAACCATAAAACTCCTGGAAGATAATATAGGTAATACATTCTTTGACATCAAACTTAAAAGGATCTTTTTGAATATCATGTCTTCTCAGCCGAGGCAAACAAAACAAAATAAACAAGTGGGAGTTCATCAGACTAAGAGCTTCTGCAAGGCAAAAGAAACTAGGATCAAAATAAAATACACCCACCACGTGGGAGGAAATATTTCCAAATCATATATCTGACAAGGGGTTAATCTCCATAATAAATAAAGAACTCACACGACTGAACAACATAAAAACAGCCCGATCAAAAAGTGTGCAGAGGATACGAACAGACATTTTTCCGCAGAAGATATACAAATGGCCAATAAACACATGAAAAGATGTTCAACATTACTAATCATCAGGGAAATGCAAATCAAATTACACTAAGATACCACCTTACGCCTGTTAAAATCACTATAATCACTAAGACCAAAAGTAACAAGTGGTGGAGAGGTTGTGGAGAAAATGGAACCCTCATACACTGCCAGTGGGAATGCAAACTGGTGCAGCCACTGTGGAAAACACTATGGAGATTCCTCAAAAAACTAAAAATAGAACTACCATATAACCCAGCTAACCCACTACTGGGCATCTACCCAAACAACTTGAAATCAATAACCCAAAGTAACATCTGCACCCCTATACTTGTTGCAGCACTATTCACAATAGTCAAGACACGGAAACAACCCAAGTGCCCATCGAACCATCGAATGATGATTGGATAAAGAAAAATATATATACAGTGGGATACTGCTCAGCCATAAAACAAGACAAGGTCTTCCCATTTGCAACAACATGGCAGGACCAGGAGGGAATTATGCTAAGGGAAACAAGCCAGACTGAGAAAGACAAACACCAGATGATTTCACTCATATGTGGAATATAGACAAACACATGGACAAAGAAAACAGTTCAGTGGTTACCAGGGGAAAGGAGGTGGTGGGTGGGCACAGGGAGTAAAAGGAAGCACTTATGTGCTGATAATCAATAAATAATGTACACTGAAGTTTCACATTGATGTAAACTATTATGAACTCAATAAAAAAATTAAAACTATAAAATTTTAGTATAAAATACTGAAAAATATTCAGAAATTTGAGGTAGATATTTTGTTAGATAAAACACAGAAGGGATAGATCATCAAAAAATTGATAAAAGGAACTTCATCAACTTAAAAAACTTCTGGTAAAAATTTTCAAATGGTGAAAGACATCAAGAAGAAAATGAAAATGTTAAGCCACAGACTATGACTAAATATTTTCAGACATATATTTAACAAAGATTTTGCATATAGATCATTTAAAGAACTCTTTGTACTCAAAACAAGAAGACAAACCATCTAAAGAATTGGTAAAATATTTGAGCAGTTACTTGACAAAACAAAGCATATAAATCATCTAAAAACACATGAAAATATACTAAACATCATTAGTCATCAGTGAAATTTTTATTAAAACCCCTATCAGATACTACTGCACACCAATTAAATTGGCTGAAATTAATACGACTGAAATACCAAGTATTCGTGAAAACTTGAGGCCAGTGGAATGCTCAGACATTTCAGCTGGGAGTAATAGGTTTATGAAGTTACACAAACACTTCTCATATGACTCAACAATACTTTTCCTAGGTATTCACGCACGAGAAAGGAGATCCAATATTTTAAATTAGGAGAAAATTGTTCTGTCTGGTATATGCCATGATACAGGCAGGGGAAAGGTAGGGAGAGTGATGTGTGTTGCTGTTTTTGTCCTTTTATGAACTTTTTTGACTTTGTTCTTTTAAAAAGTGACTTTCTAGAAGAGGTGGATTTTCCATGAAGTGCTGTTTCTACAGAGTTATCCAGGGTAAACAGGAGATGGCAGAAAAGATTCGGAAAGATCTCATCACTTTAAAGTAAAGAAATGTGTGTATGTGTGTGTGTGCGTGTATAATAGTACAATATACATATACTTGTTAAGGTGTGTAAATTCTTCTGCACTGGCTTTTGATGACCTTCTCATAATATCTATGTTATCAAGCCCTTGAGAATTTTACTGATGAGGTATAATTGTCTTCTCATGTAATTGTCTTTTTGACATTCAAGATGTGAGTGTAGTTTGTTCACAAAGAAATGACTTTCAAATTTCTATTAATTCTGAGAAAAGACAGGCCCTGCATATATGTCAATGTCTGCTCAGGACAAGAAAACAATTACTTTTGGTTTTTCCAGAGAGGGAAATTAGATTAGTGACGTGGCATAAACGTACTAGAAGGATTGTTGGTATAAAAGGGATAAGAGAGGTCTTCCAGAGACGAATAAAGAAGCCATTAAAATCAGCAGGCTACAGGGAAAAGTTTCATTGACTCGGGCACTCTGTGGGCATTCCTGTCCTTGAGTGTGGCTTGGGTTTTGACTGAGACCTGGCAGGGCTGATCTCCCTCAGATTTGAAAAGCTGATAAAGGTTGAGCTCTACCCTCTGAAGTTTGTGTTTAGTTCTTTCTCCTGCTGCCCAATGCAGCTTAAGAGCAGACAGTGAGGGGGAAATGGTCAAGTTTTTGTGGAAGGCCTTAATTTTCTAGTCAGAATTTTTCTCCTAAACACTATGACATTTCTGTAGGGTATTTCAATCTGCCTTTCTGGTTCAGATCCCCAACCTCCCACACAACCCAGAAAAATAACTAATGCCCTGTGGGGAAAATTGGTCTTGAGTTTTGGGTTTCTTCAGTTTTCAATTCATCATTAAATTCTTGGGGGTCCACAAAGGACTGCTGGATTCCTTCTGTTCTCTGCAAGTGCCAAACCTAAAAATTAGTCTGTTTCCAGAGTCAGAAAATTTGTTCAGTGAGGGAAACAGCTGATGACTGCCAGCTCACCAAAGGTCTTTTCTCTCCCCGATACTTTAATTATCTAGTCCTAATTACTTCTATTTATCTCTTTAAAAATAGAATTGGAATTCACCTTTTTAAAAATGTTATTTCAGGTGAATTGTTGTCTTCAGTGATCCACTCTTCTTATCTGAAGTGAAAGACCATGACTGACCCTTCGATGAATGATGGAAGATAGAAGACAATGAGGAACATTGGTAAATTGGAAAAGAAAATAACTGTAGAGCTCTGATCTTACTCCTAAGAAATCTTCTTTAAAGATATAGATGGAGGAAAGCCTTCTCATACCAAAAAAGCTACGGAAATGTCTTCAGTGAACTTACAGTATGAGAAACCATAAAGAGTCCTTCAGGCAGAAGAAAACCAGATAGTTCTTGGAGAATGACTGTAGAGTTTGGAAAACTCAATCAAATAGCCCTTGAGCAGATGAATATGGCTTAAGGCATATAGCATGCAATCATTGATTTGGCAGACGTATTATTTTCACTTTTAATTTTAAAAGGAAGTCAGGGACAATTCACATTCTCAGGGGATGGATAAAATTATTTATTTAATGATTTGCTTAAGGCCATTTTAACCCTGTAGCCCTCTGTCATTACATAGTTTGAAGAAATATCTATCACCTAAACATCCCACAGAACAGTACACCAACCCGTTACACTGACAGCGCCATACTAGCCGCACAGTATAAACAAGAGGTGGCTCTTATGCTGAAAGCAGTAGTGAGACACAAAGGGAAGAAGAGATTCAGGGACCTGCCAGTTCAGTGATGTGTTCAGGGGTGAAAAAATCAGAAGCATTCCAGAGTATCCTGTCCAAAATAAAAGAGAAATTATTGCAGCTTGTGTCCCCTACCAGAAGAGAGAAAGCACATCTTTTAGAAGACCTCTTTCAAGATTTTAGAGACAACACATTCCACACCCAGAAACAGTGCTCTGACTCTTATACAAGGTGTGATGCACAACCCTTAAGGTAATTTATTATCACTTCCCGATGTATATACCTTTGTGTGATCTTCTCTCATTGTGTGTAGGGGAGACATTTGACTTGCTTCTAACCAGTAGGATGAGGCAAAGGTAATGGGATGCCATTTTCTTGATTAGGTTGTTATATAGCAGGGTGAACAATTATGCATGTGTAATTAAGGTCTAATATTTCTTAATATTGAGTTAATTGAATGAGAGTTTATGCTGAGTGACATTTTTTTAATCATTGGAAGCTCTTAAATGAAAGACTGGGCCCTCCCTGAAGTTAGAAAGACTCTTTTCACTGTTGGCTTTGAAGAAGTAAGATGCCGCATTTTGAGAGAGCCTACAGAGAGGCCCATGTAACAAGGAACTGCTGGTGGCTTCTAGGATCTGAAAGTAGCTGCTGATCATTGGCCAGAAAGAAAATGGGTACCTTAGTCCTATGTCTGCAAGCAGATGAATTCTGCCAACAACTTGAAGAGCTTGGAAGGGGATGTTTCCCCGCCTGAGCCTCTTATGAAACCACAGCTCTCACTGGCACATGAATTGCAGCGTGATGGCAACTTTGAGAGTCTAGAAAACCCAGCCAAGTGGTGCCTGGACTGCTGCCCTGTAGAAACTGTGTAATAAAAATGTGTATTAGTTTAAACCACTGGGTCAGTCATAATTTGCTGTGCAGCATAGAAAACTCATACACCAGGTGACACAGAAAGTTACTAGTTTTGAGTGACTCTGTGGCAGAAATTGTCTCCAGAGCTGGTCCAGAGTGCAGAGGTGTCAGTGGTGGGGAGCAGATGCCATATGGAAATCATGCCAATCCCACTGCACGGGAGAATACCGATGCAGATCCCTAGGATTCTGGCTCAAGGTCATGTCATCTACAACAAATAATTCTATGCCAGGTGATAAATAGCTTCTGTTGTGTTAGGGGCTCCTGGTAGCATGTGGCAAGGGTTAGCCAGGTTGTCAGGGGCCCAGAAAAACATAAGTGGTTCTAATTGGTTTGGGTGTGGTGGAACCAATGTATTGGTTTATATCCAATGATTTTAGAGAGTTAAATATGCTTCCAAAATACATTTGTCATTTTTAAGAAGGTATGAGAATATATTATTCAGTTGTATCAATACAAGCTTGGCAGAGTAGATTGTCCATATCTGGAAGAAAATGTGAATTAGTTTTACTGAAGTGAATCAATGTTTCCAATTACAATAATGATTTTTTTATTGTGGTCATAATATCTTATAACACAGTGAGATTTCCATTGGACATTATTGTTTGTCATACATCATATAAGTAGGCCCCTTCCCCACTTGTGCCCACCCTCCATCCCCCTTCCCCTGGTAAGCACTAATTTATTCTCCTTGTCCATAAGTTTGTTTATATTCTACATATATGTGAAATAATATTGTGTTTGTATTTCTCTCTCTGGCTTATTTTGCTTAACATGATGTCCTCAAGCTTCATCCATGTGTTTGCAAACGGGACGATTTTGTCTTTTTTATGGCCGAGTAGTATTCCATCATATATATATATATATCACATCTTTAGCCAATCATCAGCCAGTGTGCACTTGGGTTGCTTCCATGTCTTGGCCATTGTGAATAATGCTGCAACGAACATAGGGGTGCATAAGTCTCTTTGAATTGCTGATTTCCAGTTCTTTGGGTTAATACCCAGTAGTGAGATAGCTGTGCCATATGGTAATTCTATTTTTAATGTTTTGAGAAATCTCTATACTGTTTTCCACAGTGGATGTACCAGTTTGCATTCCCACCAGCAGTGGATGAAAGTTCCCTTTTCTCCACAACCTCTCCAACATTTGCTATTTTTCGTTTTGGTGATTGTAGCCATTCTAATGGGTGTAAGATGGTATCTGAATGTAGTTTTGATTTGCATCTCCCTGATGATTAGTGATGTTGAGCATCTTTTCATGTGCCTATTGGCCATCTCTATGTCTTCTTTGGACAAATGTCTGTTCATTTCTTCTGCCCACTTTTTGATTCCTTTTTTGTAGTTCTTTTATGCGAGCTCTTTATATATTATGGAGATTAACTCTTTATCAGATATATGATTTGCAAATATTTTATCCCAGTTAGTGGGCTGTTTTTTCATTTTGATCTTAGTTTTCTTTGCCTTCTAGAAGCTCTTTAGTCTGATAAAGTCCCACTTGTTTATTTTGGGTTTTTTTCCCCCTTTGTATGAGTAGACATGGTATTCGAAAAGATCCTTTTAAGTCTGATATCAAAGAGTGTACTGCTTATATTCTCTTCCAGAAGTTTTATGGTTTCAGGTCTTACCTTCGAGTCTTTGGTCCATTTTGAGTCTATTTTTGTACATGGGGAAAAATAATGGTCTACTTTCTTTCTTTTGCATGTGGCTGTCCAATTTTCCCAGCACCATTTATTAGAAAGGCTTTCCTTACTCCAGTGTGTGTTCTTAGATCCTTTGTTGAAGATTAGCTGTCCATAGATGTGTGTTTTTATTTCTGGGCTTCAATCCTGTTCCATTGGTCTGTGTGCGTGTTTTCATATCGGTACCATGCTGTTTTGCTTACTACAGCTTTGTAATATATTTTGAAGTCAGGGATTGCAATGCCTCCAGCTTTCTTGTTGTTTTTCAGTCTTGCTTTGGTTATTCTAGGTCTTTTGCTGCCCCAGATGAATTTTTCAGATTCTGTGTTCTATTTCTGTGAAGAATGTCATTGGGTTTCCAATTGGGATTGCATTGAATCTGTAGATTGCTTTAGGTAGTATGGACATTTTCACGCCACTGATTCTTCCAATCCATGTGCATGGAATATCTTTCTGTTTCTTTAAGTCATTATCAATTGTCTTATAGTTTTATTTTATAGGTCTTTCACTTCCTTGGTTAAATATATTCCTAGTTATTTTATTCTTTTTGTTGCGATTGCACATGGAATTGTATTCTTGAGTTATTGTTCAGTTAGTTCCTTGAGTATACAAATGCTACTGATTTTTGTAAGTTGACTTTGTACCTTGCATCTTTGCTGTAGTTATTCATTATTTGTAATAGTTTTCTGATGGATTTTTTTTAAGGTTTTCTGTATATAGAATAATGTCATCTGCAAACAGTGAGAGTTTCACTTCTTTAGTGCCTATTTGGACTCCTTTTCTTTTTCTTGCCTAATTGCTCTGGTCAAAATCTCCAGTACTGTGTTGAATATGAGTCGTTAGAGTGGGCATCCTTGTCTTGTTCCTGTTCTCAGAGGGATAGCTTTCAGTTATTCCCCATTGAGCATGATATTCACTGTGGGTTTGTCATATATGGCCTTATCATGTTGATGTACTTTCCTTCTATGCCCATTTTATTCAGAGTTTTTATCATGAATGGATGTTGGATCTTGTCAAATGCCTTGTCTGCGTCTATGGAGATTATCATGTGGGTTTTCTTCCTCATTTTGTTAATTTGGTGAATCACATTGATGGATTTGCGAATGTTGATCCATCCTTGTGTCCCTGGTATGAATCCCACTTGATCATGGTGTATGATCTTTTTAACGTATTGCTGTATTCGATTTGCCAATATTTTGTTCAGAATTTTTGCATCTATTTTCAGCAGCAATATGAGCCTGTAATTTGCCTTCTTTGTGTTGTCTGTATCTGGCTTTGGTATCAGGGTGATGTTGGCCTCATAGAATGTGTTAGGAATATATCCATCTTCCTTGATTTTTTGGAATAGTTTGAGAAGAATGGGTAATAAATCTTCTTTGAATGTTTGGTGGAATTCTCCTGAGAAGCCATCTAGTACTAGACTTTTATTTTTGGTGAGGTTTTTGATAACTGTTTCAATCTCTTTATTTGAGATTGGTCTATTCATATTCTCTATTTCTTCTTCATTCAGTCTTGGTAGGTTGCAAGAGTCTAAGAATTTATCAATTTCTTCTAGATTGTCCAGTTCATTGGCATACTGTTTTTCATAGTATTCTCTTATAACCTTTTGTATTTCGGTGGTATCCATTGTAATTTCTCCTCTTTATTTTCTAATTTATTTATTTGAGCCTTTTCTCTTTTTTCTTAGTAAGTCTGGCTAAGGGTTTGTAAACTTTATCTTCTCAAAGAACCAACTCCTTGTTTCATTGATCCCTTGTACAGTCTTTTTGTTTCAATTTCATTTATTTCTGCTCTAATTTTTATTATTTCCCTCCTTCTACTGAGTCTGGGCTTTGTTTTTTCTTCTTTTTCTAATCTGTTATGTGTAGCTTAAGATTGTTTATTTGAGCTTTTTCTTGTTTGTTGACATGGGCCTGTATTGCTATAAATTGCCCTCTTAGGACTGCTTTTGCTGCATCCCATATGAGTTAGTATGGCATGTTTTCATTCTCATTTGTCTCCAAATATTTTTTGACTTCCCCTTTTGTTTCTTCAATAACCCATTTGTTGTTCAGTAGCATGTTGTTTAGTCCAAACATTTTTGTTCCTTTCCCTTTTTTCTTGTAGTTGATTTCTACTTTCACAGCATTATGGTCAGAGAAGATAGTAGATATGATTTCCATCTTCTTAAATGTGTTGAGGTTTGCCTTGTTTCCCAATATATCATCTATCCTTGAGAATGTTCCATGCACACTTGAGAAGAATGTATGCTCTGCTGTTTTTGGATGGAGTACTCTCTATATATCTATTAAGTTCATCTGGTCTAGTTTTTAATTTAATTCCATTATCTCCTTGTTGACTTTTTGTTTGTATGATCTATCCATTGAAGTACGTGGGGTATTGAGGTCCCCTACTATTAGAGTGTTGTTGGTAATATCTCCTTTTGAGTTTGTTAGTAGTTGCTTTATGTAATTTGGTGCTCCTGTGTTGGGTGCATATATATTTATATGTGTTATGTCTTCTTGCTGGAGAGTCCCTTTTATCATTAAATACTGCCCCTTGCTGTCTCTCTTTACATGTTTTATCTTGAAGTCTACTTTACCTGATATAAGTATGGCAAGACCTGCTTTCTTTTGTTTGCCATTAGCTTGGACTGTTGTCTTCCATCCCTTCTCTCTGAGCCTATGTTTGTCTTTAGAGCTGAGATGTGTTTCCTGGAGGCAGCATATTATTGAATATTATTCTTTAATCCATCCTGACACTCTGTGTCTTTTGATTGGAGAATTCAGTCCATTTACGTTTAGAGTGATTATTGATAGATGAAGGCTTAACTGCCATCTTATTGCACGTTTTCTGGTTCTTCTGCATATTCTTTTTTTTTGTCCCATGTATATTGGGCTACCAACTTGATTAGGTAGTTTTCTATGTGGTTTTCTTCATTTTCTCCTTTTTTATCATATATGTCTCTAATTATTTGTTTAGTGGTTACCATTAGGTTTGTATAAAAGTCTAGAAGATGAGATAGTCCATTTTCTGATAGCCTCTTATTTCCTTATACTATACTGATTCCATTCCTTTCCTGTTCCCCTTCTAATTTATTTTTTTCATATATTATTCCTTCTTGTGTTGTGAGTTTGTGATTAAGGTGATGACATAATTTTTATTTTGGTGTTTTCCTTTTCTTTATCCTTGATGTAAGTGTTAAGTGTTTATCGACCTGATCTGATAGACAGCTGTCAATTTCTGATTGTTGCCTTCCTATTCATCTCCTTTCTCAGGGCTTTGTAGCTCTTTTCCTGATTTCCTGTTTTTCCTTTCAGGTATGAGGGCTTTCTTGAGGATTTCTTGTAGTGGGGATCTTGTGGCAATGAATTCCCTTAGCTTTTGTTTATCTGGGAAAGTTTTTATTTCTCCATCATATCTGGAGGAGATTTTTGTTGGATAGAGAATTATTGGCTGGAAGTTTCTGTAATTCAGGATTTTGAATATGTCATTCCACTCTCTCCTAGCCAGTAAGGTTTCTGCTGAGGAATCTGCTGAAAGCCTGATAGAGGTTCCTTTGTAAGTTATTTTCTTCTGCCTTGCTGCTCTTAATATTTTTTCTTTCTCATTGACTTTTGCCAGCTTTACTACTATATTCCTTGTACTAGGTCTTGTTATATTAACATAGTTGGGAGTTCTGGTAGCCTTTTACATGAATTTCTATATCCTTTCCCATGTTTTGGAAATTCTCCACTATTATTTCTTTGAACAAGCTTTCTGCTTCATTCTCCTTTTCTTCCTCCTCTTGAATACCTATAATCCTTATGTTGCATTTCCCAATTGAGTCAGATATTTATCTGAGAGCCTCTTCATTTCCTTTAAGTCTTAGTTCTCTCTTCTCCCCCCCTCTGAAACATGTCTCTAGTATTGTCTTTTAAATTGCTAATTCAGTCTTCCATATTGTTAGTTTAGTTGTTTAGGGAGTCCAAATATTTTTAATCTCATCCACTGTCTTTTTTATCTTCACCCATTCTGATTGGTTCTTCTTTAAAGTTTCAATCTCTTTTGTGAAGAAGCTTCTTAATTTGTTAATTTGTCTTTCTTTGTTTTCTTGTAACTTGTTGAGTTTTTTCATGATAGCTATTTTGAATTTTTTGTCATTTAAGTGATGGATTTCTGTGTCTTCTGGCTACTTGTCACTCTGGTCTGGAGATTTCATATACTTTCTCTTATTGCTTAATCGTGTGGATTTTTGCCTCTGCATAATGTTACTATCTGGTCACTGCTGTCATGCGCCTCCACTGGATGAGGATCAGGTGTCGTGTATTCTGGGTCCAGCATGATGTGGTGATCCCCATATCTGGCCAATTTCTGCTTTTCTCACTGTGCAATGCTCTGGCCAATGGAAGATCTAGAGCACTGGGCAGGGGGAGCACTGCTGTCCTTCACCTGTGCTTTTCTCAGTCACCGCTTCTCACTCTGTGCAGAGTGCTGGATGATAGCATGATTGGAGTTCCAGGCAGTGTAATGAGCACTTTCATATACCTGCATGCCACCCCTAACCATTGCCTCTCTCTCTGTGTGTTTCTCTGACTGCTCACAGGGCTCCACCTTCCACTGCTTCTCTCTCTGTTTGGTGCTCCTCGGGATTGTGGGGCTGGAGCACAAGGCTGGAGCACCAGGCAGGACCAGACCACCTCTCCCCAGCTGAGCTGCTCCTCTAGTCAATCCCTCTCTCATTCTGCCACTCTCCTGGTGAACATGGGGCTAGCGTGCAGTGCTGGAGTGTCAGACAGGAACAGATCACCCCTCCCCAGCTGAGCTGCTCTAACCAGCCCCTCCATCACTGTGCTGTTCTCCCAACAAATGTGGGGCTAGAGTGTTGAGCTGGAGAGCCAGGTGGGACCAGAGCACCTCTCCCTAGCTGTGCCCATCCTCTAACCATGAGTCTTCTCTCTCTGTGGAGCTCCTGCCAAGCAGCTTCACCTTCCTCCAGAGGATCCAGTCTCACCACCACCTTCAGGCATACGGCTGTGTGGGTCTCCCAGATGTCTCCTGTGTTGTGTGTGTCTCATATGTTCGTGTTTGAATGTCCCTCTAGTTGTATTTTAGAAAGAGAGCCTGAGGGAAGAGCTCACTCCACCATGATGCTGATGTCAGTCTCTCAATAATGATTATTTTATGTTCAATGAAAAAGCCAGAGTCCAAGTTATGTCATGTATATATCTCAAGACACATGCATTATGTATAGAAAAAGATAGAAAAATCATACAGAAAATGTTAACAACAGTTATCTCTGAATGGTTGCATTTAGCTGATTTATCTTTCCCTTTGTTATTTTCTAAGTAATCACCATGTTTTCTAAATCAATTTTTATATTTTCTATAATTAAATTTTTAAAAGAAATTATGAAGTAGGCTTGAGGAAGCATTGTATCCGCTGATTTAGAAGAAAGTACAATTTTGTAAAATGCCATGTAGGAGAGCATTCAATCAAATCCTGAGTTTGTGATGTAAAAATAAATGGTTCGTTAAAGATTCTCTAGGGACTGAAAAGAAGTGATGAAGGCAAACAAAATCCTACATTTTGTTCCTAGGAGTCATACTCAGCTTCCAAATCTCTCTCTCCCAAAGGCTCAAGTTGCTGAGTTTTGGTCTCTTCCCCTATCCCTGGGGTATCATCCTGATTTTTGCTTTGAGGATATCTACATTGTGCCTATCATAGTACAGTCACACCAGAAAATTTAAAGAGAATATTACAAAATCTGAGAATGTCCTCATATTTCAAAATTTTGTAGAAAGGAGATAAGAATAATAAGTATAAGGTAATAGTGAACGCTGTATATCATGACATTTTGATTTCATGATAGAAATGTCTGTAGGTATACCAAAAATGTGGAAAATGTTGCTGGAGTGAAAACCAAAAGTTTCTTTGTGATAGTGATTTGGATTTAGAGGTTTATATATAGCAAGTGATGCGTGAGTATACCAGAAAAAGAGGATGTTCCAGTTAAAAGAAAAGGAAAATCACATAAGCCAAGGAATAAATGAGCAAATGTTCATTTAAGCTGAGAATACTGGCATGATTCATGAAGGTTGAACACTAGGGGATAGTTAGCGTAAGGCTTTAGGTAGAACTGAACAGAGAAATGATTTGCCATGCCAATATATGAGTCAAGAGATTTGGATTTTGTGGTCTGATGTTTATTATTAAATAAACTTCATAGGGTTGCTGCAGTAAATTATCAGAAACTCAGTGGATTAAAACAGTGGAAATTTCTTCTTTCACAGTTCATGAAATCAGAAGCCTGAAGTCCAGGTGCTGGTAAGGCCATGCTCCCTCTGAAGATGCTAGGGGAGAAGGTTTCCTTGCATCCTCAAGATTCTGACAGCTCCTGGAGTTCCCTGGTTGGTGGTAGCAAATGCCAGTCTCTGCCTCCATCTTCACAATGGCTTCTTCCATGTATGTCTCTTTGTGTCCTTTTCTGTCTCTTATTAGGACACACTCATTGGATTTAGGGATCACCGTAATCCAGTATGATCTTATCTTGATCCTTACCTTTATTACCTGTGAAAAGACCCTATTTCCAAAAAACACTCTGAGCTTCTTGGCGGGCATGGATATTTTGGAAAATGCTATTCGACCCTCAGCATTTATGCTACTTCACACATGCTTCAAAGCTATTGTAATAAACATTGAAGTGAGTAGAAATCAAATAATCAAACAATTGGTTTATTACAATAGATTTAAAAATCTGGTGAATTCACTAAAGAATTTGAATCATCATTTCTAATAGAAGCATTGAACTATCCTCAATATAATAAATCAAATTCCTTTAGAAATACAAATCTTCTACAACATCATATTGAGTGATTAATCAACTTCATGATACTCTCCTTCACATCTTTGTTTCCTGAGCCTATATATCAGATGATTAAGGATGGGAACCAATACTGTATAAAATGAAGAACTAGTTTGACTATGAGCCATCAGATTTTGGAGTTGGGTACACAATAAATGAACGAGAAGGTCCCATGGAAAATGGTGATGGTGGCAAGGAGGGAGGCACACGTATTTATGAGAGTCATACTAGTACTCTTTTATTATCCTGAATATTTCAAACATGTGCCTGTTATTTGCTAACTTATTTTTCAAATCATTGTTAAATTATTGAAGATACTTCTGTGGTTGTGAACAACTTGAGAAGACAAGATACTTTTGCTTTCTCAAAACGAAATATACAAATATAACAAAGATTACATGACTCAAAAAAAGATAACATATGTAGCTTTAATCAAACAAATGTTTCCATCAGGAGAAGTTTTGTGTGTGATTATGTAACCACTGATGTTATTTTTACAATATTCTCTAGATTTCTCTAGAGGATATGGAACCCTTGAGCAAAACACTTTTCAGCTACTCTCCAATTCAGATAGTCTATGATTATTTAATATTATAATATGCTACAAAAGTTATGAGATTGAAAATAATAATAGAAATTTAAATGATTATGATCAAGGAATGTAGAGGAGTATGTTGAGAGCATCATTATCATTAAATGAGAAAACAATCTAATAAGAAAGAAAACACAACAGGGAAGGAGCAGCATGCCATAAAAACAACTTCATCACTTTACCAGGTTGCTACATTAGTTTTAGAGCAATAAGATGATTATTGCAGTATCATGATGGAATCAATGGAAAGCTTGAAGATATACAGGGCTCTATTCCCTTCACTGTCCACATGTTTTTTTCAAAATTAAAAATTCTTTTGATGACTGATAAATGCTGCTGGTGTGTTACACAGACTTTCTTATGTGGTGATCTCAGATCAGTGTTTGAAGAGACTGGAAGTAGAAGTGTCACTGACTAACTGCCTCGAGTAACTCAGAGGAGTAAGCACTTAACTGTTTCTCACAACCGTTTCTTCAGTTATAAAAGATGCAATCACCAACTGCCCTGAACCAGTCCAAACCCCACTGCAAGAGTGATGCCCGTGCAGATTGCCCGTGATGTGCTGAGAGATTAGCTTTGCTTCATTTTAGTGTTAAGATCACCCCAGGGGGAGCTTAGGCCTTGTTAACATAACATGCAATGTGTGTGAAAGCATGTTTTCAAACTGCATCTGTGTCAATATCCACCCCTACAGGTAAGGATGAAAATATCCTTGCGAATACTCATTCCCCATGCAAAATAAAAGGCGTCTGCTTTCCCTTGCTTGGAGAGACACAGCTTTGGAAATAATTCCCCTTATTGTGGGCTCCTTATTTGCTGCAAATAAATTGTACTTTGTGTGACAACTATTTCTGGTGAAGTCTTTGATTTCAACTCACCAAGAAGCAAACCCACTTTGGTTTGGTAAAAAAAATTGGTGACCACAAAGGAACTTCTGTCTGTCTGAGATTCATGTCCTCCAGCCACCCAGTTTTCAATAGATGGGGCAGTGGGCTATGGCAACACACTCCGGCTAGCCCATCCACGCTACCAGGGACTGAAGATGGACCTCATAAGGAGGGTGTCCTTCTTAGTGAATGTGCTGCTGACTTGACCTCACTGTCCCATCGGGAGACCCAGTGGCTGCATTGAGAGCTTTGCTTGGAGGATCTCTTGATGGAGTCAAGTGGTGCTGACCCCATTACATGTCTGTAAGAGTTATTTTTTAAGTTATCTTACAACGTCTGCTTAAGCCTGGCTTAAGGACTTATGGAATTGCACAACCCAGCCATTGGAGAAGCCCAATGCTTTGGCTCTGGGGAAACAGGAGCAATCTGAAACTTGATGAGTCTTCCCTGAAGGTTTAGGTCCTGGAGTGATGCAGTGTGGATTCAAGTCTCCTCTGGGGTCACTGAGTCTGCGTGTTCAAGTCCCCTGTTGAGTCACTGAGTCTGTCTTGTGTGGGGTCAAGGCCCTTTGGAGTTCCACAGTTTGTGTCTTTCAGTCAGGGACACCTGACATTGATCTTGCTACCTACAGTCCCTCTGAAATTCTAGCTTTCTGGATGGATAGGTCTCCCTCTTCTCCTTGCCCTTTTTATTGTAGGGCCCTGGGTGAATCCAGCATCTACCAGTTTTGTTTTCCCTTTCACTCTCTGCTAAAGGACTTCCACTGATCTCTGGAGTCTCGTACTTTAGTTAAGTCTTTCCAGGACCTCTGCCCAATCCATTTCCTTATTTGTCTTGGGTCTGGTTTTAGGCTACTGGGGTGCTTAACCTCCTCTGAGCAAAATCCTGTGGCACCTGCACCACCAGTAATCATTATAAGTTTCCCCTGGACTGTTGGAAACAGACCACAAGAAAATATCCTAGAATATGGGAGTGCAAGTTCCATCCCAGAGGAGAGCCTTTTGGGCTGTATCCTCCAGAATTGGAAGGCATTTGGGTATCATCAATTAACACAAGAGAAGATAATCTTTCTATGTAATATGTCCCCTTTTCCATCTCTGATCTGTATAATTGAAAGGCACACGCTAAAGGATTGAGCACTGACCCAGAAGAGTTCATAAACCCAACAAAGTGAATCTTCTCCACTGGTGATCCAACCTGGGCAGGTATTCAAAGCCTGTTGACTACATTCCTGACACCTGAGGAAAAGTCACCTGTTCTGTTCAAAGCTAGAAAACAAGCATGTAAGGAAGATGACTCAAGGTCAGACATCCACGGGCCTAGTGAATAAGTTGTGTCAAGGATTGACCCTGGGTGGAATCAAAATGATCTGGATAATCAAGCAAACCTTGGACATTTGGGGGGGTCTGCTTTTGAAAGGCATGCAAATAGTAAGGAAGGCAACCATTAACTGGTCTAAATTGAGAGGTCCAACAGGATCCTGAGGAAAATCTGTCCATCTTTTTACAGAAGCTGTGAGATTCCCTTGGGTGATATATACATTTTGACCCTGAGGCCCAGGGCAGTAGAGTGGTTATTAACACCTATTTCATATCTCAAAGTGCTCCAGACATCTGTAGGAAACTCCAAAAGTTGGTCATAGGTCCTGATACTAATTCTGTACAGCTAGCAGAGGCTGCCTTTGGGGTGTTCAACAACCAGGATGTAACTGAGGTTGGAAAAGAAGACAAGAATATGAAAAGGCAATCTTCCCTGCTATCTATGGCCTTCCAGACTGCTCACAGTAACCTGAGGGAAAGGATGAAGATTCCATGGGTGAGTGATCCCAACTCCCAGTAAGGGACCAGAAGGCCATCAACAAATTTGCTGGCTAATCAGCAAAAGTACTGTAAACAGGAAGGGCATTCGCAGTGGGATTGTCTGAACCATCCCTAGAGAGGGAAGGGATCAAACAAGACTGAGCTGTGGCAAATTCCCTTGATTACAGATGAGTCATTATGGGGCCATGGGGCTCCCAATTTGGCTCCAGGCAACCAAATCTCCCCAGAGGAGCCCTGGGTGACTCTGGCAGTGGAAAGAGAGCACACTGAATTCTTGCTCAATATCGAAGCCACATTTTTGGTGTTGAACAATCAAAGGGGAGACCTGTCCACAAAAAAAAGTGTGACGTAAAAGGAGTATCAGAAAAAGGAGAGACCAAAAGTTTTCTGGTGCCTGGACCTGTGAAATTGAATCAAAAGCATTGAAGCATTTTTTTTCCTGTATCTACCAGAATTCCCTGTTACCCTTTCTAGCAAGGGACATACTATTTAAGTTACGGGGCTCGATAAGCTGGGAACAAGATAAAATAGATAACCAAGTCCTTAAAAGATGGGGAGTTGAGCTCATGGCCCTATTGCAAGATACACCAGCACTTAAGAAGGAAGAGAGTTGCCTAAATGTTTTAAGCCAAGTTAACTTTGAAGTATGGGCACAAGGGCAGGTGAGACAAGTAGCCAATTCCATGCCATTAAGGTAAAATTGAAGCAGATAGATCACTGGCCCCATGTAAAACCATATCCTTTGAAGCCAGAAGCCAGAAGTCAGAAGAGAAATCCTGACTGTAATCAATAGGCTTTTAGGGCAGGGATTGACCAGGCCATGTAGATCCCTATAAACACTCCCATCTTACCCATTGAAATGCCAGTAGGAGGGGAATATAGAATTGTTCAATACCTTAGGACTATCAGTGAAACAGTCTGAGACATACAGCCTGTAGTACCTAATTCTTACACTGTGCTAGTTGATCTCCCTGGGGACACCAGGTTCTATACAGTGCTGGGTTTAAAAGATGTTTTTTCCTGCATCCCACTGGATCTCAAGACCGAGGGAATATTTGCCTTTGAATGGGAGAATCCAGACTCCCACCAAAAGCAACAGTATTGCTGGACTGTCTTACTGCAAGGGTTCAAAAACTCCCCTATTATCTTAAGGGAAATCATGGACTGAGATTTAGGAGAACTAAAATTAGGAATTAGGACACGGTACTGGGTTACACTATGTGGATAACATCTAAATAGCAAGGCCTATTAAGGAAATCTGATAAAAACACTCTAACTATATTAAACTTCTTAACCAGTAAGGGATATAAAGTGTGTAAAGGGAAGGCAAAAATATATAAATCAATTGTAAAGTTTTTGGGGTTTGTCATTTCAAGGGGACAACACAGACTTTCTGAAGAGATAAAAATGGCAATATATCAACTTCACCAATAACTCAGGGAGCTACTAGGATTCTTGGGGATGGCTGGCCTCTGCCACATTTGGATCCCTAATTTTGGATTGGTTGCTAAGTCTCTCTATGTAAACTATAGGGGACAGAATAGACCCCTTTGAGTGGAATAAGCTATGCGACCAAGCTTTCAATAAGCTTACATGCTTGCTAATGGAAGCACCTGCACGGGCCTTACCAGACCTGAGCA